GGGGAGCTACATGGCATCTTTTTACACATTAACAAAGCTCCCATCTCAAGCAAGTGGGAACTCCGTACACTTATTCAAGAAGCAATCACCAACATTAGCTCCCACAACAAGAGCATTCCAGAGTCTCCACACCTTCCTGAGGTCCCTGTCTCTGTTGTCCCATCAGCATCCCATATTAGGTATTCAAACAGGGGAAATTCAGCCACAATAAATTCGGAAGCCAGGTTGATGAACAAACTTCATCATTCTCTGCAACTTCAATTGTGTCTCATAGAGTTGAATTGCTGACCATAAAGATAGGATGTAGGATAACCAAAAAGCCTTACTAAGGGGGCAATAACTTGAATGTCACTGGTTCGAATTCAACATCCAACCATCAGTTACTTCTGCCTTGATCAGATGACATTCACCAATCTCAGTTTTAATGGAGCATTTGAGAATCCAAATGTTGACTTATGGAATCAGTTCATTGTGTTGTCTTTCAAACAGCTACCAATTAGTTCCAATCCCTCTTCTCTTTTGCGCCACCTTGCAAAAGTTTACCCCTTCAGGTACTTATTAATTTGCTTTTCAAGTTTAGTGAAATGGCAGCGCAGGAAGAATGAGAGAAGAAAATGAACTACACAATCTATTTTACTCACATTTCACAGTCACTGTTGAAATTGCATCACTTTGACCAACTTTGTTCTTCACCAGGCAGCGGTACTTTCCTGAGTCCGATACAACGGCGAGATTGATTTGCAGGAACCCGTTGCGTTTGACTGCCCTGCTCGGCAAACTTCCATTCACCTTGGACCATTCATACGTTATTGGAGGAGTTCCTTGGGATAGACAGTGTAGTCGGATGATCTCACCAACCCTTACAGTAACAACCTCTTGATTAAAGGTGGCATACGGTGCAGCTGAGGAATAAGATAAATTTACATTACTTCAGAAGTGTCTTTGGATGTTAACTAAATAATTCCAAATTAACTACTGTTAATGAGAGTTGTGATTATTGTGTGTTCACCAGTATCTGATAGTCACATAATCAAGGATAACAAGGTGCAGAGCTGGATGAACACAGTAGGCCAAGCAGCATC